TGTGTATCTAGATCCGTGTGTGTGTATCTAGATCCGTGTGTGTGTATCTAGATCGGTGTGTGTGTATCTAGATCCGTGTGTGTGTATCTAGATCGGTGTGTGTGTATCTAGATCGGTGTGTGTGTGTATCTAGATCGGTGTGTGTGTATCTAGATCGGTGTGTGTGTATCTAGATCGGTGTGTGTGTATCTAGATCGGTGTGTGTGTATCTAGATCGGTGTGTGTATCTAGATCGGTGTGTGTGTATCTAGATCGTTGTGTGTGTATCTAGATCGGTGTGTGTGTATCTAGATCGGTGTGTGTGTATCTAGATCGGTGTGTGTGTATCTAGATCGGTGTGTGTGTGTATCTAGATCGGTGTGTGTATCTAGATCGGTGTGTGTGTATCTAGATCGGTGTGTGTGTATCTAGATCGGTGTGTGTGTATCTAGATCGGTGTGTGTGTGTATCTAGATCGGTGTGTGTGTGTATCTAGATCGGTGTGTGTGTATCTAGATCGGTGTGTGTGTATCTAGATCGGTGTGTGTGTATCTAGATCGGTGTGTGTGTATCTAGATCGGTGTGTGTGTATCTAGATCGGTGTGTGTGTATCTAGATCGGTGTGTGTGTATCTAGATACGTGTGTGTGTATCTAGATCGGTGTGTGTGTGTGTGTATCTAGATCCGTGTGTGTGTATCTAGATCCGTGTGTGTGTATCTAGATCGGTGTGTGTGTATCTAGATCGGTGTGTGTGTATCTAAATCAGTGTGTGTGTATCTAGATCGGTGTGTGTGTATCTAGATCGGTGTGTGTGTATCTAGATCCGTGTGTGTGTATCTAGATCCGTGTGTGTGTATCTAGATCGGTGTGTGTGTATCTAGATCGGTGTGTGTGTATCTAGATCGGTGTGTGTGTATCTAGATCGGTGTGTGTGTATCTAGATCCGTGTGTGTGTATCTAGATCGGTGTGTGTGTGTATCTAGACCGGTGTGTGTGTATCTAGATCGGTGTGTGTGTATCTAGATCGGTGTGTGTGTATCTAGATCGGTGTGTGTGTATCTAGATCGGTGTGTGTGTATCTAGATCGGTGTGTGTGTATCTAGATCGGTGTGTGTGTGTGTATCTAGATCCGTGTGTGTGTATCTAGATCCGTGTGTGTGTATCTAGATCGGTGTGTGTGTATCTAGATCGGTGTGTGTGTATCTAGATCAGTGTGTGTGTATCTAGATCCGTGTGTGTATCTAGGGCCCTGTCCACACGTAGCCGGGGATCTGCCAAAACGTAGATATTTTTCTACGTTTTGGCCTGTCATCCACACGAAAACAGAGTTTTTTCACACGAAAACGGATCTTTTTAAAAACTCCGGCCAAAGTGAAGATCTGAGTTTTCTCCATTTTGGGTGTCTGCGTGTGGACGGACAAAACCGGAGTTTTAAGGTCCGCAACGTCACTTTCCGCGACATAAAAATGCTGACATCACGTGTGCGACCTGTGTTTACACTAGCCGACAGCATGGAAGCCCTCAGAGCTGCGCTCTGTCACTACCCGATCCATCAACTGTCCAAGCGCTTTTTGCTTGTTTGTTTTTGCAAGCGGAGTTACTGCTCCTAGAGGAAGACCACAGACGAAGGACGGGGTTAAGAACGGGGGAAGTACTGCCGCCTACAGGTCTGGCATGTCCTTAACAACGTATTTGTCCGGGTACGTGTGGACAGAGTTTGTTTTAAAACGAGGTGGTGTGGATGCAAGTTTTGGAGGGGCGGGTTTTAAAAAAAAAATGGCTATGTGTGGACTAGGCCTAGATCTGTGTGTGGGTATCTAGAACCGTGTGTGTATCTAGATCTGTGTGTAGGTACATAGATATCTGTGTGTGGGTATCTAGATCTGTTTGTGGGTATCTAGATCTGCGTGTGGGTATCTAGATCTGTGTGTGGGTTTCTAGAACCGTGTTTGTATCTAGATCTGCGTGTAGGTACATAGATATCTGTGTGTGGGTATCTAGATCTGCGTGTGGGTAGATAGATCTGTGTGTGTGTATCTAGGGCTGTGTTCGAGAGGAGCCAGTTCTGCGCAGATTAGACCAGCGGTGATCGGCGAGCGGTGCATGTCGGTTAGATTCGTGTCCGACTTGCTCTGACGTCATGCCTACGTAGGCAACGACAACCTCGTGAGATCAAGGCGGCCGCAGATTTTGGAGCCAGGTGCTGCAGTTGCTCTCCCTCGGCTGCTAAACCTAGAGGATGACGGGAAACGCCTGGCTCTCACCTGATCTAAGATCTGATTGGTTCATATTTTGATCCGAACATCCGGTGGTAGAACATGAAATGTTAGTTGGTCACATGTATTCTGTAAATCATGTTATGTTGATGATGACAACTATATAGGCCATAAAGAGAAATGTGATTTGTGTTCTTTTGTCACGTTTCCTATGAGCACACTGAAGCTACAGCTGCTAACCTTTACTTATTATTACAGTCATGTCTTCATATACAATATATGATATCCACAAGCACGTGAGGATGTTTCAGCTGCTAACAGGCACCAGAATTAAAAATGAAAATTAAACAAGTATGAACGCTAACGCGATATCTTCAGCTATCGTCACCCGCGAGCTACACATGTAGGGATATCTGTCCGACGTAAACGCCGGCTTTCAGCCACGCCCCCTGCTGCTTCCGTCTGCTCTCGTCTGCTTTCCAGGTGAGCCGCAGCTCAACTCGAACACAGCCTATGTGTAGATCTGTCTGTGGGTAGATAGATCTAAGCATGTGTAACTATGTCTGTAACTTGTGTTTACATTTTCATGTGCAACTTCAGCTCCTACACGAAATCATTAAACACACACAAACACACACACACACACACACACACACATCTTTGAGATTTTTTTCTCCCATATCTTGACTCAAAGACTTTACGTTCCTGCACCTCCCGGTTCGGATCAGAATACTGTCCTGGGTCCACTGGTGTGGACGGAAACACACAGAGACACTCTGGGTTGTGAGCGGTTCCCAGCCTCATCATTAAGCAGACAGAAGGACGGACAGAACTCTTCAGCTCTAACTTTCCACAAATGGAGGGAAAAACACTCTGAGTGTGTGTTCAGTATGTATAATGGATCAGCCCTCAGGGCTGGCCTTGAGCAGGAACCACACACACACACACACACACACACACACACACACACACACACACACACACACACACACACGCGCGCGCGCGCGCACACACACACACACACACACACACACACACACACACACACACACACACACACACACACACACACACACACATCCTCTCTCTCTCTCTCTAATATGGACATACATTATAGATTATCCCTCAAGGTAATGGGCCAAACCTGGGATGCTTGCGTGTGTGTGTGTGTGTGTGTGTTTGTCTGCGAATGTGTGCTTTCAAGTAAGTGACATCCATTAGTAGGGTTCTAGTGATGAAGCTGGGTTAACACACACACACACACACACACACACACACACACACACACACACACACACACACACACACACACACACACACACACACACACACACACACACACACACCTGTATTTATATGTCTGTGTGGACCCTCCTTTTGACTTCTATTCATTTTAGTGACTCCACTGAGCCCGTCTCTAACCAGTGAGGTTCTATTACTAACCTAACGTAACCCTAACCTAAACTAAAACTTTTTTCACACCATAGCCCTAAAGTTTTAGGGTGGACCAGCAGAATGCCCCCACAATGTAAAATGTCCTCACAGCACAGGTTAGAGTAAATATCTGTCCACTTAACTCTATATAAACAAGTATACACACACACACACCTCATCCATCCTATGGATGGGTCAGCTGATGACCCGAGCACATAGATGAGCGGGTCTTTGTTTTGGTGACTTTCTGTCAGGTGATTGGCTTAAATGATCACATGACCACCTATGGGTCCTGAAGAGGACTCCAGCCCAGTGCACGTGTCCTCGACCTCTACGGGCCATTCTTAATCTTTTTGATAACAACAAAAGACTGATCACACTGCAGTGACACCAGAACCCTCCAAGCATCAGCAAACATCATAAGAACTTAGTTTACTGGCCTGGGACCTCCCACTGGACATGGTTCTGGTTCTGAGCCCGTTTCTTTTCCTAAACCAGAACCCTGGTTCTATTTAAAGCAGTAAGTCTACAGCCCACCTATCAGCATCAGGGTCAATGTGTGTGTGTGTGTGTGTGTGTGTGTGTGTGTGTGTGTGTAATTTGACATGGTCCTATGATTGTAAAAGCCTGAGACACAAACGATGATGAAAATAAGATTTTTCTGGTTGGGTCCTGTAGGGGGCGGTGTTTAGACACTCGGCAAAACTCACGGATAAAAAGTGACTTTAAAATAAACATTGATGACGGAGGATACGCATACTGCACTCTTCCGTTAACTTGCTTTTAGGCTGGACACACGTCCCGCTCAACAGGCAGCGTCCTAGTTTGTCTCTGAAAGTCAGAGCAAGACAAACCAACATGTCTGAAAGCCTGGATGTATCATCAGAGCAGTCTCAATGTGCTTGTGAGTGCACCACAGCACAAAACAGGGTTAGCTGAAAAGATGATCTGTAGAGCATTTACAGTAATCGTGTATGTAATGATCATGTGACTTTCACATCTGGGTGAGCCTGGACTGGGTCGGGTCGGCTCATCCCAGCGCGGCCAGGTTTTGTTCACACAGCCTTCTCAGGCACAAGGAGGTCTCTGAGGATGTGGGCGGGACAAGCGTTTGTGGTGTCCTCCTTAATTTAGTAAACAACGGCAGCCCTGAGCAGTTTTGCTGTAAGAGACTCTGATATGAAGCACACAGCTTCCTGTTGTCCCACTGAGAAGTTTGTGTTCTCCTCACACTGCTGCAGCTGGAGCAGTGTGAGGAGATGTTTACTTCACTGCATCCAGACGGATGATGAATCACACGCGTGGGAAGCCACTGCTGGCTGATTCTAGCTCCCACTGGTGGGGGCATTACTCTGTGCATGTGGTCTTACCTCGTATTCCTCCTTGAAGCCGTAGCCCTCTGCACACTTCATCTGAGTGATGTGCTGCAGCAGGTCAGCAACCCTGATGGCTGGGTGGAGCTGACCAGTCTGGTAGGGCAGTGCCTCTCGCTCCGCCTCCCGCTGCTTATAGTGGGACTGGACCAGACTGCTGGTTTCACTGGTCATGGTGTGGCTGTCGTCTGCAGAAAGAACAGAGGGAATTGGAAATGGTTGAGACACTAGATGGATTTCAAGACATGATAAAGTCATGACAGACTGGACCAGGCTCATTTAGAAAGAAGACTCAGGACTCAAAGAAGAAGTTAAATACAGTCCAAGAGCTCACACACACAGGCGCCCTGGATCTTCTCTGATTAATATGAAAGAAAACCCCACAAACGAATGAGGGTTCTGGTTCATTCTGAACAGACTCGACAGTTTAGGACTAAATTTGGATTGAACTCAAGGATGTATGTTTGAGTAGTACCAGATGTACTGTACAGCCTCAAACGATCAGAGACCAGAGTCCTACCCAGTCACCCTGATGCCTCAGACTGACAGTTCAATTCAGTTCAATTCAATTCAATTAAACTTTATTTATAAAGCGCCAAATCACGACCAGAGTCGTCTCAAGGCGCTTCACATAATAAACATTCTAATTCAGTTCAGTTCATTAAGCCAATCAGAAATAATGTTTCCTATATAAGGAACCCAGCAAATTGCATCGAGTCACTGACTAGTGTCAGTGACTATACAGCAATCCTCATACTAAGCAAGCATGCAGCGACAGTGGAGAGGAAAACTCCCTTTTAACAGGAAGAAACCTCCAGAGAATCCTGGCTCAGTATAAGCAGCCATCCTCCACTCTGAAGCCTCAGACTACCAGAATCCTACCCAACACCGGATACTGGATGAACATCACGTCACCGCTCCAGCAGACGAGAACTCATGAAGTAGGAAGCCAGTACTGTCAGGTAAAGCTGGTGAATAGTCTTTACCTGATACAGTCCCTTCGAGGGTTTGTAAACCCTCTGAGGCACTTTACAACAAACAGTCATTTACCCACGCACACACATTCACACGCCTCTGGTAAGTCTGTTATCACCTACCTGTTTCCCAAAGCTCGCACCTCCTTCGGCTGCTCCTCATTCCAGTTTGCTGCTTCCAGCGACTGGAACGAGCTGCAGAACCACGGAAGCTCCCTGCCTACATCCCATTATCTACCTTCAATAATTCATGGTGATCAATAGTTTCTGATCAGTGTTCCTGCTTCTGAGTATGAAAGACGTATTCAGGTCTGTTCCGACCGCTCGTACGTGTTATACATGAGAACAGCCCTCCATCTTTGTGTCCACCTGTTCGTCTCACCTGTCTCTCTGTGGTGTAAAGCTAACTGTGTCTGCTGCCTCTGGGCCAGATCCTCGCTGGACATGAGAACGAGTTCTCAGACCACTCATCTGGTTAAATAACTAACATCATATATGACACCACACACTCGTTATACAGAGACAACACCAAGATCCAGAAGACATGGACCATTATATCAACAGTTATGGGAGTGTATGGCGAGTTTAAAATCCTTTGACATAAATAAAGTTCTTTTAAAGAGTACAACATAATGTCTCCCCGTAATTTTGTGGTCTTGCGAGTCCAACTACACGGACAGCGGCTGAACTGTTCCATGCCTGACAGGCTTCTGGTGTGGACCGATGTGCCGAGGAGCATGCACGTAAACTACGCTGCTGCCGTAATGTGCCACAGTTGCACCCGGTGTGAATTGGGGGCTTGAATACTCGAGTCTTGCAAGATTCACCCTAAATTCCTGTACTGCTAGGGTCCTTCCACCCAGTGGTTCCAGACGACCACAGTCCCGTCACGTGGCCCTGCTCTATCAGCCTGGAAGGACATTCAGAGCAGCTGAAGCCTCAGAACGTAAAGCAGACTGTTTAACTGTAAGAAAACACCAGGAACATTATCAGCAAGGTTCCAGTTCAAGAGATCAGATGATCCATCCACTTGAACGAATCCACCTGGTTCTACGTTCGCTTATGTTTCCAGGAGCTGGGGTTTACACACCAAACACTGGGGTTGTCCTATTTAGGTGCAGAAGAAGTTTTAATTTCCCCAAATTCTCCAACAGACGAACCCTTAATGTTCACCATTCCAACTGAAAGTATTTCTACTTCTAACTGGGCAAACCGGAGTAATGTAATAATGATACTGTACAGAGTCTGTCCAAAGCAATCCAGAGTGACCGGCCTGACAAATAATGAGACATGGTCTGCTTTCAGGCCTACGAGTCTTACAGCAGAAATAAATGACATCACATGACTGAAGAGAGAATGATGATGGCGTCCGTTCCCTCCAAAGCAACCGATTTAAGAATCTGCCAGTCAACACCTTCAGTCACAGTTTGTCTACTGACCAACACAGACCAAATGCTGGTCTGGACCGAAACCAATCACTGGTCCAGATCCAGACCAGTTCCAGAACAGCAAGACTGAAGTTGTCGGTCAGGATCAGTGGGCCACAGGACTGGTCCAGTTAGACCAGTGTGCTGATTAACAATAGTAACTAAGAGCTGCAGTTAGAACATCGGAACGTTCAAAGTCCTGGAAAAGAACAAGTTTCTTTGTTAAGAAATAGTTTGAACTGGACCTCTGACCTTAAAGGTCTATACACCATCACTCTTTCATGAACATTTGAGCAAATGCATGGCAGACTGATCCTCCACTACACTCTCTAGCTCTGCTCTTATTGGCTAGACTTGGGGCTGACTCACCAATCAGAAATTCTCTTTCTAAAAAGCCCAACCAGTCATGGTGAGGACATGGGTGATGTGATGGAGGCAGTGGTCTGTGACCAGATGGATGTGAAACAAACATCAACCAATCAGAAGGGAAATGCTTGAACCTGATTGGTTCACGGTGAAATGGTGGGAGGGTCTAGAACTGTGATGCCATACTTTCACAGAGAAAAAAATGAGTTCTTGTCACTTTAGTTGATGACATTGGAGTGGTGGTGGGTGTGGCTCCATGCTCAGCAGTGACAGACACCCTGAAACATAGGCCCCTCCCCTTTAACCCCAAATGTAACCACTTACCATTAATGGGCACTACATAGGGAAAGATAGAAGAGAAGAAGAAGAAAAAGAAGAAGAGAAACGAGATAAGCAACAACTTTAGCTTTAGCGTGGAACTAAGCTAGTGAACTGTTAGCACAATGCTAGCATGAGTCAAACTGATGTAGCGCTATTGTCCACTCTATGCTAACCGGGACATATGAGTTTAGGTCCTGGTTTCCTTTTCTTAGGCGTCCAGTGTGTTTTATGGAGCTGTGGTAATGGTAGACTCTAGTTTGTCACAGATTTAACCCAAAAATACACTTTTATATATAACAAGGAAACAAATACCAGACCTTCCTGTTTCCTTCCTGTTAGACAGTCCAGAGATGGTTTGACTGCACCCTGCTTACATCGAGGCTCTACGTGTTGTTGGAGCACCTCCATCCACACAAGCTGAATTAGATGGTGAGTCAACTACCAGTCAGTCTGAAGCTGCGTTCAAGAGGCACGCTGTGGTGGAATATCAGGTTGCCTGATGAACGCGCCATGGCGAGTCGCGAGCATTGCACCATGGTGCCACCAAGCTTGAGAGGAGAGCTACTGCTACACAAATGGGGAATGTCCACCAAGCCCTGGCTAGCAACAATAATGAAAATTAAATCAAATACGGGGAGATTACTTTTCATTTGTAAACAGAATCTGCTGAGGCGGCAAATTGGATCGATGCAGAGATCCAGGAGCTTCTGGCCTTTAGAGCTGAAGCTCCTCACATCAGCAGAGTTCAAAGGGACTGTGAGGGACATCCACCGTTTGGAGGAAGGAGCGTGGCTTCAATGGGGATGAAGAACGAGTTACGTCTAAGCTACGAGGAAGTCTGAGGCAGTGCCAAGGCCACCCCCTCACCCCTTTGTACCCCACTGTTTAAACTACCGGGGGCTCCCTGGTGCCGCCTCTGCTTCGTGGAAAAGTGGCGCCATTGTTCTTTGAAACAGGCTTGAGACGAATGAGTGTGAGTGAAGTGCAAACAAATGCCCAAAGAGTTTTTCTGACATGAGGAGAAACTCTGCTGGATTGGGTGTGGGCTGTTCCGGGTTTAGAAAAGCGTTGATGGGTTGATGCAGGAGGACACGTTTGTTCTGGTTAGAGACGTTCTTCGTCGCTGGGCTTTAGTCGTAACGCGTGACTACGTCTCGTTCTCCTGCTGCCTTCCTGGGCCAGGTCACGCTCGAAAATCATCTCTACCTTCTGAGCCACGGGTGCTGAAGCAATTCCTGGGTCTGATGACATCATTGGTGGGTGTGGTTAGTGGCCACTGACACTGAGCTAAATGGAGCTAATGTATTCATGTGTTTCTCTAATCCTGAGGGAGAAGTAGTGAAAGCTGGACCGAGTTGAGTTCAGTCTAATGAAGGAAATCAACCCATAATCTGTGTTTGGATCAGCGTTCTGCTGATTTTACACTTCCTGGTACAACTTAGAGTTCCACAAACATCTAAGACTTTGGGGTGGTCACAGTAAAGACTTCCTGCCTCCTATGGTGCCATTTTTGTGTTTGTTTATGCGTTCCTTCCCCTGTCCACATGTGCACGATGTGTCCATGCAGAGGTCGGAGGTCACAGACAGACAACAAAACACGCAGGAATGTTGTGGATGTGTGGATGGAGTGAAGCCCAAGGTCGCGGTTGAGAAACAAACCAAACCAGATAAACAACAAATAATCAACAGGCTGCCGAGCAAAACTAATAAACACACAACACAATCATCCATGAAAGACGATAAAACATTAGTTCAAAAACAAAAGCATGACAGGAATTAGCATCACAATAAAATCAGTGTCACTAATTAAAGCTGCAGGAACCATAAAACAACCTAAATAATCTAAAAACGATGAATGGACGTGAAACCTTCAGGTAACAAAACTTCAAACAGCTGAAGAAGAAGCAAGCAGTGATGGATGGAAGCCAGAGTCTCTCTGTCTGTCTGTTGCTTTCACCTGTCTCTCCTGCCCTTCCAGGCTCTACCTGTCTAGCTCTCATCTGTCCATTAAGCACTTCCTGCCTGTCTACCTGCACAGCTGAGACCATCTGTTCAACAGAGTAAACAAAGGAGATGATCTCACCCAGGATGGCGGTTGGAACGAAGGGATCTGCTCCCAGGAGAAGAGGAGAGGCGGGAAACAAAGAGGAAAGACAAAGAAGAGAAAGTGCACCTTAGACCTGCTGCACCAAAATCTTCACAGAGCTGGAAAAACATCTGCTGAACGTCAGAGGAACGGCATCTGAACTTCACGCAGACGTAGGATGAACATCTACTGAATCAGGAGGGAACGTTTTGCTATGTGAGCTGAGTTCTTGTAACATGTTCGCTGTAGGACGTCCTCAGGTCTCAGACCAGAAAGGTTTCCTTCTAAAACCCACCTGCTGTGAAGTCCAGGCTCAAGACCCTCCCCTTAAGGTTAGCTTTTATCTACATATTTATTATAGCTTCATTTCTCGTTTTACACGATTATATTTTAGCACCATTTCATTATTTAATATTATTATTTGACAGTCCACATGATATTATCTATTATCATTTTCTTACTTTAGTCATTTATATTAGCTCTTCTATTTTCATATTTGTACTCATTTTAATCCAGTGTTTCCTCTGTAGGGGCCCTCTGCCCCGGGGGCGCTGGTCGACTGTAGCTTCCTGGGCGCTTTACAGGTAGTGTTTAAGTGGAGGTGGGGGTCTATGCCCCCCCTCCACTGAGCACCCTGACTTAAGAGTGGAGGACCTGATGCTGCCGGGGCAGACGGCTCCTCTGATGGCGTTTCCTTGCCTTACCTTACTTGGCTCATCTGGACTCAGCCTAATATAATTTTTACTTGTGTGTGTGTGTGTGTGTGTGTGTGTGTGTGTGTGTGTGTGTGTAGGAGTGTGTGTGTGTGTGTGTGTGTGTAGGTGTGTGTGTGTGTGTGTGTGTGTGTAGGTGTGTGTGTGTGTGTGTGTGTGTGTGTGTGTGTGTGTAGGTGTGTGTGTGTGTGTGTGTGTGTGTGTGTGTGTGTGTGTGTGTGTGTGTAGGTGTGTGTGTGTGTGTGTGTGTGTGTGTGTGTGTGTGTGTGTGTGTAGGTGTGTGTGTGTGTGTGTGTGGGTGTGTGTGTGTGTGTGTGTGTAGGTGTGTGTGTGTGTGTGTGTGTGTGTGTGTGTGTGTAGGTGTGTGTGTGTGTGTGTGTAGGTGTGTGTGTGTGTGTGTGTAGGTGTGTGTGTGTGTGTGTGTGTGTGTGTGTGTGTGTAGGGGTGTGTGTGTGTGTGTGTGTGTGTGTGTGTGTGTGTGTGTGTGTGTGTGTAGATGTGTGTGTGTGTGTGTGTGTGTGTGTGTGTAGGTGTGTGTGTGTGTGTGTGTGTGTGTGTGTGTAGGTGTGTGTGTGTGTGTGTGTAGGTGTGTGTGTGTGTGTGTGTGTAGGTGTGTGTGTGTGTGTGTGTGTGTGTGTGTGTGTGTAGGTGTGTGTGTGTGTGTGTGTGTGTGTAGGTGTGTGTGTGTGTGTGTGTGTGTGTGTGTAGGTGTGTGTGTGTGTGTGTGTGTGTGTGTGTGTGTGTAGGTGTGTGTGTGTGTAGGTGTGTGTGTGTGTGTGTGTGTGTGTGTGTGTGTGTGTGTGTGTGTAGGTGTGTGTGTGTGTAGGTGTGTGTGTGTAGGTGTGTGTGTGTGTGTGTGTGTAGGTGTGTGTAATGTGTGTGTGTGTGTGTGTGTGTGTGTGTGTGTGTGTGTGTGTGTGTGTAGGTGTGTGTGTGTAGGTGTGTGTGTGTGTGTGTGTGTAGGTGTGTGTAATGTGTGTGTGTGTGTGTGTGTGTGTGTGTGTGTGTGTGTGTGTGTAGGGGTGTGTGTGTGTGTGTGTGTGTGTGTGTAGGTGTGTGTAGGTGTGTGTGTGTGTGTGTGTGTGTGTGTGTGTGTTACCTGGGTAATAGGACTTGGGAACGGTGGTGCTGATGGTGTTGGTCTTCAGGGTGAAGGAGGAGGGAGACGACACAGCTGCACAGGGACACACATGACACCTTTGACCTTCCTTGATATTTGAATCCGTGATGAACATGAAACAAATGAAACTGAATCCAGAAAACACACTTTTCCTCTGATGCAGCAACACAAGCTTCACGAGTCCAGACAGGAAATGGGAGGACCAATAGGAAGGAGGCCAGGCAGCTGGAGGAGGAGGAAACCTGAGGGAAGGTCAGCTCCTCGCTCCTCTACATCTCCAACACTCCGGTACTACACGATTCAGACATTCCTCCTGTTCTGACCAAGACCCACACCTTATCCATCTCCTCATGCCTACTCCATTGTGTCTGCTTCGTTCTCTCACCTGTATCTTATCATCTAGTTTATAATGTCAGGAAACAAATGCACCCACCTCTATGACATGAGAGGTTTAAGCAGAGCACGATGGTGAGATGGACATGAGACAGAAGACGTGAGAATAAAGTGGTAAAAGAAGAACAACGTCCCTTCATCTGTGCTTTTACTGAAACCACGAGAAGATTTGATCCAAAGATGAGTTCAGTTTGGTTTCACATGGTCTTGTCTGAAGTCCAGCTTCCTCACGTCTCCCTCGTTTCTACCAACCACCATTTGTTATTTCCATCATGTCATCTTGTAAGCTCAGCTCTATCTTTACAGCCCTTTCACACAGGGGTAGGAACAACACCTGCCAGGTAACAGGTAACCGCAGCATTAGCAAGGAGTTGAAGGGTTTTAAAATGAATTTGATGAGAGACAGAGACAGTTCTGTTCACCTTACGGTCCAGTCTGAGAGCCACATTCTGCTTCATCCTCATACTGGCTTACGCTGCATTCTTGCAGGGTGCAATGAAGAGGCATCAGCCCCGTGTGCACCTCCCGGTTAGGGTTAGGGTTACTCGACTCAACAGACTTCATTTGGTGAAAACAAGAATAATCATGAGCGGCCCAGGATTAGATGTTCCCCCGTAAAGCCCGCAGTACCGTGCTTTAGTGGAGGATAGACCTGACAGTCATCAGCATAGAGGTGGAACATTATGCTTACGAAAAAGAGGAGGGGCCAGAATGGACCTTTAGGGCACTCCCCATGGTAAATCAGCATTGTTGGACGAGTAATCCCCCGCGGTCATAAGGAACATTATTTCTTTTATTTTTATACTATTCTTATTTCTAGTGTTGTTTCGAGTGTGCAGGTGCCCTCCTAGGATTGGTGGACGATGGCCAGGGGACGTTTGGATTGGAAGATCAGCTGGAGCAAAGGTGTTAAAAGGAGCCTGATGAGATGCAGCTGTGTTCTTCATCCTCCACTCGTTCCTATCAGCCACCACTTGATGCTCTGTGTTTGCGTGATGCCCTCGTGCTGTTGGGACGAGTACCTGCCATTCGAGGATTGTGTAGGGGTGAACCGCCTTTTTCTTTGCATTCCTGTTTTCTCCTGTTTGGATAGTCAGGATCAGGGTTAGGGTTAGGTAAGTTTGGTTGTCAGTTATTTCCTTTAAGTTTGTAGGTCAGTTGTCATCCTGGAGTTAGAGGGGTTTTGTTTATTGTTTTGGACGTTGGTTCACCCCGAGTTATTTATCCTCCCTCGTCCTTAGTTCATCGCCTTGATCTAGTGAATAAATTATTGTACTTGGACTTCTGGTGTGGTGGTTTGGAATTGGTGGAAGATGGAACCATGTTGATGTTACAGCCTGGCCCTCCTAGACGGGTTGTAACACTCACACAGAAGCCCCCCCCCAAAGGTCAGGACATATTCATTGCAGAGCTGAACCTGTCATGTCCACCTATGGTCCAAATGCTGCTGTCAGGTCCAAGAGTAATAAAACCGGTGCATCTTCAGAGTCCCTGCCCATTAAAATGCCAACAAGGACCCGTCAAGAGCAGACTCTGTGCTGTGCTGGCTTTCAAAACCAGACTGAAAAAGCTAAAGTGTCTGATGTTCTCTTTAAACGGACCTTAGGTGGATGTACACAACCGTCTCTAGGATGGGAACGCAAATAAAGGCCTAAAGATAAAATCAGAAGAGTCTTAGTCTACTTCCTTCAAGAGAGGGCTCACCACTCCTTAAAGGGTGAGTCACACCCTGGGTCGAGTCTTACTTCACCAACACTTCCTGTTAGACAAATGCGCCTAAAGGAGGCGTCGCCTGGCGGACTGAGAGAGCAGCACTGAGGCAGTGATCAACAGCACCCCCCACACACTCTATGTTTTTCAGTCCCAACAACGGGTCATTAACAAGTGTACACACACCTGCAGCAGACTCACTGCTCAGTACAAGAACCAATAGAGAAACTGCTGCAGGCTGGAGGATTTCCTGTCCACCACAATCACTAGCAGAAAGAGGGAGGTAAGCGGCTCCGAGCCATAACATTTCATACCGGCAGGCCGAGACTCAGCTGCAGTCCAGCGCCGCGCAGCCAGGTAGTCCCATACCGACAGCGTCACACTGCACCGCTACAGCCATCAGCAGAGCTTCATCCTGCAGATGGACATGTCTTAGGAACCCAATCCCCCATGACAACCCCCCCCCCCCCTCTCTCTCTCTCTCTCTCTCTCCATCTCTCTCTCTCTCTCTCTCTCTCTCTCTCTCCATCTCTCCATCTGTCCATCTGTCCCTCCATCTGTCCATCTCTCTCTCTCTCTCTCTCTCTCTCTCTCTCTCTCTCTCTCTCCATCTGTCCCTCCATCTCTCCATCTCTCCATCTCTCCCTCCCTCTCTCTCTCTCTCTCCATCTGTCCCTCCCCCTCTCTCTCTCCATCTCTCCATCTGTCCATCTGTCCCTCCATCTCTCCATCTCTCTCTCCATCTCTCCATCTCTCCCTCCCTCTCTCTCTCTCTCTCCATCTGTCCCTCCATCTCTCCATCTCTCCATCTCTCCCTCCCTCTCTCTCTCTCTCTCCATCTGTCCCTCCCCCTCTCTCTCTCTCCATCTCTCCATCTCTCTCTCTCTCCATCTATCTCTCCATCTGTCCATCTGTCCCTCCATCTGTCCATCTCTCTCTCTCTCTCTCTCTCTCTCTCTGTCCCTCTCTCTCTCTCTCTGTCTGTCCCTCCCCCTCCCCCCTCTCTCTCTCTCCATCTGTCCCTCCATCTCTCCATCTCTCTCTCCATCTCTCCTTCTCTCTCTCCATCTGTCCCTCCCCCTCTCCCTCTCTCTCTCTCTCTCTCTCTCTCTCCATCTCTCCATTTCTCTCTCCATCTGTCCCTCCATCTCTCCATCTCTCTCTCTCTCTCTCTCTCTCTCCATCTGTCCCTCCATCTCTCCATCTCTCTCTCTCTCTCTCTCTCTCTCTCTCCATCTCTCTCTCTCTGTCTCTCTCTCTCTCACACACACCAAACACACTACGCAAGATACCCAAGTTGTTTGGACGCATCCAATCTGGTCAGCTACACTCACTGAGACAGAACTATGTCTCGTTACACCAAATGCAGAACATCTCGTACGAGAAGCACTGCTGGGATGCGCTCTGGCAGGACACCTGCACCTGCAGAGATATCCTTATATCTCAGTGCAACCACACACACCTCTCCCCCTCCTACTAAGCACAGCACACAGTAACACACTACAGTCAGATCTGGACTTCACTGAGACATAACTAAAGCCTCAGCACATCTCATCTCAATGGGTTGACTGCAGACAGCCTCTCGGAACAACCACTTGAAGATACACTTCCCATAAAAACCAGAAACCAGGTGCTCAAGATTGGACCTGATCTCGAGTGAGCGTGCACACCTTCGGTTTCCATAGCAAACTCTGCAAAGCCATCGGGCGGAGGGGGGATCCATTTAGACCAATCTCCCAACCCTAACCCTACAGAACCACAAAAGACTAAAAGAGTCCACGAGATTAGAGCAGTTCTTTACCATCACCTTTCCTGGACAACAAATATGTGTTAAAATCCCCAAGGATTAAAACCCGATCATACTTTGGAAAAGCCTCACCAAGAAACTCAGATAAGCCATTCACAAAGTTTGTGTTAAATCTTGGTGGACGGCACAAGAGCATGATAAGGAGCTGGGAGAGACTGGCGACTGATGGAGGCACACGTTCACAGATCAAATCACCAACAGCCCTCCTCCATTACCCGAAGGTCTCAGGATACTAAAATATGCAGTCATTGGGGAGTAGCTCCACAAAAACAGTGGATTCCCCTGTAGGGACCCAAGATTCTGTAATATAGAGGTAATCCCGTCCAAAGAAGTCAAAGAGTTACTCATCGAAGACCTGGCATAAACCTGACGGTGGACAGTACCAACCAGGCTGAACCTTCCTGCTCCCACAGTGAGGGCTACGGTAAGTGACGTGTCAGCTGACGTTTCGTACGTTCTGCCAATAACTTCCCTACAGCTAACGCGTTCTGGGGGTGACAGGAGGCGACACGGGACAATCTGGTCACAGCTGACAACTGCCACCATCCAGGAAGCTGGGGGGTCCAGCAGATGACACGGCTGCCTGCGATGAAGACCACAAACTCCCGACAGACCTCTGGATAGCTGTGTTCTTAGCTTCACCAGGCGTCCGCCATATTTACCCCATCTCTGATGCCTCCTCCATCGAGGTAAGTTCAGTACCCAGCACAGGAACTCAAGGACTCCTGAAAGTAGCGGAGAACTATCTTGTCCTATCAGTCGAAGCTCCAGTGGGTCCCAGCATCACATGTAAGTCATGAGCATACCATACCACAACCACAGTGATGACCAAGGGAGTGGCAGGCGGGCTACCACACGTGTCTTCACCTCCTTCCTTTGTTGGTCATTTTGTCTCATCTGTCCATCCCAGATTGTATGTGTATGTGTGTGTGTGTGTGTGTGTGTGTGTGTACTCACTGCGACCATTCAGTGTGTGTGTATCCACCACAGCTGTATGCTGGGAGTTGTTGACCATCAGAGTCATTTCCTGTCTCGAGGTCAAGGTTTCTTTCCTCTTCTTTGCCAACTTCCTGTGGACACAAAAACAAGTGGAGTGACGAGATCTGTCTTCCCGAGTTTGGAGTATCACAAACCAGGTCCTGGTGGAGCAGCGATGGACACAGAAACACACACATGTAGATGGAAACAAGTCTCAAACAGAAAACTAGGGAGACAGAAACTGGGAGGAATCCAACCTCAGACAAAGATGAAGACGTTAGAATAAAGCTAAGGGACTGATGAGCGGAGGGTGGTGACGGACACTGGGAGACACTACTGAAGAACAATGTAAGTGCTGAGGGACCGGGAATACAGGGACAAAATAAGACAGGAAGGAGACATAACCAGGTAACCTATTACCTGGTACATCTTTGTTCTGGTTTTCGTGTCTAGAGACGGGGACGAGTGAGACATCTTTGGTTTAAAACGTCTTTGAGCAACATGTGGAAAGCCTTTGGGGTTAACACGTGTTCTGGGTCTCATTAACAGCACACATGTACGCACAGCAGGAGAAAGAACACTGATACTACGGTCCAGGATGGGGAACCCCTGGAACCAGCCTGACTCGGCTCCTCCTCAGAGTCCATGACAGCTGAGGCTGAAAACCAGACTCCAGCCAGTGGCATGCGAGGGCAGCAGTCTGTTTTGAATATTGCTGGGGACAGTTATGATCATTCATAATTTCAATGACTCATTACAGTATGAACTGCAGTGCAACGACAGGTGTGGAAAATCAGGGCTTTATTCAAAAACTATAAGTTTAAACTGCGGAACTACCAGTCACCGAACGAGCTTTTACCCTCGGCACCATCGCGGCGCATGTAAACCTGCTCATAACATGGTGTGTAGCTAACCCCTGTCAGGACATGCTTAACTACATATTCCCTCACCAGAACCACCATCCATGGTCTCACAGCAGAACCGTTCTTCACCATGATCAACAGAACCACCTGGAACCAACGTCAGACAAAAGTGTGCTAGGAATGATGAGCCAGTGGTGGACATTACCCTAAAGCTAACAGCAGGGGAGCTAACGGACTAGCTACTGTTTAAGATCCATCATGTTTGATGACTGATTGGAGGGAACAGGTTTCCCAGCCCAGAGTCCCTTTAGTCATCCCCACGGGGAGCGGGGCCCAATCCAACCCCTTAGAGCTGAGCAGGAAGCAGGAAGGCATCGGGTCCCGTTGTAAGTCTTTAGTCTGACCCGACCGGGATTTGAACCCTCATCTCCCAGACCCAGGGTGGACACTCTGCCACTAGGACACTGAGGAGGTGCCACACTCTTTCTTGTTTTATTCACAGTTAAAGTATAATGATTAAAATGAAAAATACACATAATAGAGAAAAGGTGTGTGTAGCAGTGCAACAACGAGCCTGCAGCTCTGAACACGGATAACGAAATGTCAACAACAACATTCTCTCCTCAAGGTCCAGTCTTTCAGGACTCTTCATGCCTCCACATAAGGAACACTCGCAGCCCGGACTTCCTACATCAGATATGAACTTCTACAACTTATAAGCTCGATAATCATTAAATAAACGTTTGTTTGTTGCTGCTTATAATAATTATAATATAATGAAATGTTTCATTAACGTGCTGAATGACTGAAGTTTGACATGAATGTTATGTTATGATTACAGTGATTGAAATACGTTTCAGCATGTTTACGTGACGAGGCCATCACCATTTGCACGCACACAAGAACAAGTAAGGTTACGTTAAACTCGACTCACAGGTCTACAGCCAGGCCATCTTAATCTGGCTATGACACAACTACAATGTTATCCCCTCACAGGAGACTGGAAGTCTACACGTAGTCCCTTTAATCAGAGCCTGCCTTCCTCACACCAGCTGGACTGCAGCTCTGAGAGACAATAAAAGATAAACAATAACATTCTCTCCTACCAAGGTCCCCGTTACAGAGGAACTCATAAAATAAACTCCTTCATTCCCAGAAGAAAGACGATTTTATAATTATAAACAATGAAATGTTCATTCATCTGTGTTTAATGATGTATGTTTAGCATGTTTGCTGGATGAGGTCATCACCATTTGCACTCATACAAGACAGAGTAAAGTCAAGTTATCAAGTTAACGCATGACACACAGTTAACCTTTTGCCAGATTCGTAGTCTCCAGATCCAAGAGTGTGTGTTCTGAGATTCTTGGTAGCATCTCTCAAACTTGTCAACCCCTGATTGGCTGGCCAAATCCATAATATCAGCCTATTAAAACTAGTGCCTCTGGTTTTTCCCTCAGTGGAGTTCGAACAGTTCAACAGTTCGAGGGTTCAAGAGAAAAGCTTCAGACGGCCATGTGAGCAAAGCTTCTTTAACCCGCAAAGATTTTGACACGTTGTCAAAACCCTTAACCTTCTACGCACCTGCGAAGCTGAGAACAAGATAGTACCTGCAGAACAAAGCTAACATAAACTCCTTCACAGTTATTTTTAAGACGCTCGGTTTCATCTATCGTTGTGACCCGGAGACATCTCAGGTCGCATCGAGGTTTCTCTACGAACCACGTGCAGTGGGGTCGCCGGCTCCTTGACATCTCGGATCCAAACGGGGGTCTCCAGAACGGGTGAGGTAGAACACAGCGAGACAGCGTCTGCATGTGGTTCTGATAATAACAACTTTATAGCTTATACGTAAACCAAACTCTTTGATGTCCAGAAGTCAGCTCTCTGAGAAACGGAGATTCTGACTCCATCACATTATATTCACACATAGGCTCCACCCTTTAGTTCGCATCCACTCACAGAAAATAATAGTTCAAACATCTGGTCACGTTTTAATTGTTTGTAAAATAAATTCTTAATTTCTTTTGTAAACATGACTATTTCCTGAAACAGACCAAGTGAGTACGATCCCTTAATGAATAAAAGAATCCTAGAATCTTCTGACTAAAACAATAAAGACCAGGCAAGGTCATATTCTATATCTAACAGAGTATTGCAGCTTATTGGTCTCAAGTAGTCTTAGTAGTATAAATAGCTCTTAAAGCAAGTCACCTAACCAAATATACTATTTAATCTAACATTACATGACACATAAACAGTCCTTTGCCCATCAGAGCTTTTGACAAGTCATCAAAATGTTTTGTTTGCACCTGCGAAGCTAAGCAACAGTTCCTGCAGAACGAGCTGACATTGTTCCGACTCCTGAAAGAGTCCCAGACGCGCGGCTCCATCCATCTGTTGTGACCTGCAGACAACTCTAAGACCAGCTTAGTGGAGCCGCAGTTTCTTCTACGGACCTCGGTGCCTGGAAGTCCGAGGACTTCAACATTCCGGATCTATCACGAGGGTCTTCGAGTGGGTATGTAGACACACGGATTTCATGTTCTGTGTCCCCTTGGTCCCCAGCCCCCTCCTGTGTGTCCTCTGCGTTCTCCTCATGTGTCTCCTGGTGTTTCCCAGCTTCTCAGGTCTCCCCTAGTCACCCCTGTGTAGTTTTATCTTCTATAGGTTCAGCTTTTCATTTTATTAGTTCCCTTTAGTGTTTGTGTCCTTCCTCCTCTTGTCATCATTTGCTTATCTTTGCCCTTAGTTTCTACGTTTAGTTTTTAGTGTTTTATAGGTGATGTTATCTTCCCCTCTGCTTGGTTTCCCCTCCCATTTAGATAACTGAACGCACCTGTCACCTGTTCCCCTGATTGCTTTCCTCTGTGTTAAAAGCCTGGCTTGTCCTTCAGTGTTGGTTGGGTCATTGTCGTATGTGCTGCGCTGGTCGTTCCCCTCTCGAGTCTCTCTGAGTCCATGCTCATGTGTGAGCTTTGTTAATTTTGAGTTTTCAAGTTTTTGAGTGTTAGTCTTATTTTGTTATTTGGACTTTTGGCACATCCTCCTTAAATAAATGACTTGTTTTTCTTAAAACCTCTCCAGCCTTTGAGTCGTTCTGGGTACTTCAGCATCCTGGGTCCGACCTCCTCTCCTAAACGGGACACAGCCGCGTTTAAACCAGTATACTTAAAAAGAACGATCTAATCAGCAGAGGGTTCGTTTATATTGAAGAGATTGTTACCGGAAGTGACGCAATCGCGTCTTCTTCTCTGACCAAATTCCTTCATCTACCGGTACCGCCACCTGTTGGCAGGAATTAGTCCGGCAACTTCGGCAAAAGCTTATTAAATCCAGTTCTATTTGTCACAAAATTAAAGGTTCTGTGGAGTCATCAAAATGGCTGCAGACTGGGATGAACTTTGGACGGATTTTCTAACTGAAATGAAAAGGGACATTCAACAGCAGCTCTCCAATTTAAACCAGAAATTACAAAATTTGGATGAAAAGATTCTATCTTCAGATAAAAGACGATGCTATTTAGAATGATTCCTGCCCCGGAGAGGTCTGAACCCTTTCTTCTGCTGATCTGCCTCCAGATGTGGAACAAAACCTGCAACCAGATAAGCTGACTGACTCTGATTTTCAAGAAGTTGAAAAAAAATAATCCGATCCTGCCAAATTGATGATTAACTCATCCGTCTGTGACAACGGTCCAGCACCCCTGGTGTCGAGTCCGCCAAACAGTTCTTGGGACACCTCCTGTCTCCCGGGAGAGCTGGTAAGCCTCTGGTGTCTGTGATACTAGAACAGGCGCTCCGCTACAATGGTCTCCTGGATACAGGTTCAGATTACACCCTCACTCACCAGTCGATGTTCAACCGCATCTGCACTGGTGCAGGAGGAGGAGTAAGACCTCCAGAAAACAATCCATGTGCAGTAGCTGTCCGTGTTTTCGCTTCTTGTCACATGATCTTGTCATCCAGGTCACTCCTCCCCTTCACGATCGGTCCTATGAGGTTGCCACATCCCGTGTACATCTGCGAGCGCGGTGCCATGCCTGTGATCCTCGGCATTGACCTTTTGAAGCACCTTGAAGCTTGTATTGATCTGGAAAAGGTGGAACTTTGGTCAGGTGTTGGAGAACCCCTACCCATCATTTTGCCTCCTGACCTTGACCTCCACTGTCTTGCGGTTGGTGACCCCAAGCATGGGGAAATCGCATGCTCCCTGCCGAGCTCGGAACCTGCACCACCACAAACTCAGCTTCCATCAGAGCCGCCCTCTGATGTTTTCTCTCACATTGAACGGGTCGTGGACCAAGCCGATGCTCTTACCAATGAAGCTGAACGAGACAAGCTATGTCAACTTCTGTTAAAATACAAATACTCTCTTTCAGCCGACTCCTTGTACTCCAACTCACCATCTGAGTTGAACATCTTCTTGGACAAAGCCTGCCCTGATGCTCGAGAGAGAGGTACCCTCATCTATTTCACCACTTGTTCGTCAGCGTACCTTGGATGACCACTTATCCGAGCTGGACCACATCATGGGTCAGCTCGCAGCTGCAGGTGCAAAGATTTCTCTCACCAAAGGTCAGTGGCGCAGGTCAAAGGTTCAGTTTGTTGGCCTCCTTGTGGGGCCGCAGGGAGTGCAGCCTCAACATGGCATAATTCAAGGAGTGGCCACCATCACACCTCCTACGAATGTCTCTGAACTTCGGAGTTGTCTAGGTGTGTGCAACTACTCTCGCCAGTTCGTAGAACATTACGCTGAGATGGCGAGACCTCTGACTGCCCTTCTGCAAAGGGATGTTCCTTTTGAGTGGACTGAGCAGCAGCAACAGGCCATGGATGACCTGAAGGCTGCACAGCTCCGTGTCTGGCGCTTCCTGATTGTGACAAAGAGTTCCACCTTGAGGTCGGGTTCTCATCCAACTGCTTGAGTGCCGGTCTCTATCAGGTATATGACTGCGACAGGCGTGTCGTAGCCTATGCTAGTAAGCTCTTGTCCGGTCCTGAGTTAAAATACTCTGACTGTGAAAAGGCTTTGCTTTCCATCATGTGGGCGGTGAAACACTTTTCCAGCTACATTGATGGACAGAAAATCATCAGAAACTCTACATCAGCCAGTGACCTTCCTTACAGTCAACGCATCAGAGATGGTGTGGTGACCAATGCACGCATTGCGTCATGGCTGCTTGCTCCTCAGAGCTTCGACATTGAAGTACGCTGCACGTGTCTCAGTTTCACTTGTCATCTACCTTCTTGGAAAAGTAACGGGTTCTTAATCTCTAACTGGAAGCCCGTTAAACATCCAAGACATTTTCATGGCTTGTGATGCCCTAACGACATAACATGACATGCAGATCTATTGGCGTATAGATGATGAATCATCAAAGGTCTTTCTCGTGCACCCGGAACTGAAAAGGATCTGAACGATCTTGCAGACTCTCTTGCCAAACAAGGTGCAGCTGTAGGTACCCCATGGTATTTCATCCCCTTGTGGCTCCCTGACGATGTGTCTTCTCGGTCAGACCCACCCCGCATGTGTGTCGTGACTCAAGCTCAGGCCGCTAACGCGTCCACCTCTTGACCATCCGATGGTTTTGTGTGTGTTCAACCTGTCTTGACTGAAAACGACCTTGTCAGTCTTCAGTCCCAGGACCCTGCTATCAGCAGGATGATCCTGTACCTTTCTGATCCAACAGCTCATCTGCCTTCTTCTGTCGAGCTTGACTCCGTGCCTGAGCTCCGTGCTCTCTTTCGTGTTCATGTCATTCCCTCTTTAAGTGTTGTTAACTACAACAGCGCCGTCAGAGTGACCAGTCTGTCCACAGCCTCCAAGGTTGGTGACACCCACAGAGTCTGTGTTGTCTCTGCAGCAGGATCACTTCACCCTGGGGTGGAAAAACCACCTGTCCCAGATGAGGTTGACGGTTGCAGTGGCACTCCACCTGAGACTCCGCATCCTGCAGTGGAAACACCACCTGCCGAAGGGGGAGTTGATGGTGGCGCTGAGACTCCGGCTGAAGCCCAGTACCTTGCGGTGGGGACACCACCTACCAAAGGGGGTGTTGACTGTCGCCCTGTACCACTAATGGCTCACCCTGATCTCTCTGACTACACTTGCGCTTCGACCGAGGGCCCTCCAGAGCGCTTACCTGCTGGAGGCTAGGAGGGAGATCTGGCCGTCTGGTTGGGGTCTGGGGTGGTGGGTTGCTGTGCTCAGCGTTGGGCGGGGGAGCCTGCTCATCAGCACCCCAGCAGAAAGGGTCAAACTCTGGTTACCGGTGATTGTTGTACCCCATGTGCAGCAGTACCGGGACCAGAGTTAATAGGGTGTGTATGGGGAGCATGAGTGGGTGTCCGGCGTGAATTTTTGTAAGTCTTGGGTTGTATGTGCATGTGTGAGCATGAGGGAGGGAGTGTGTGACTGTGTTTGTGTATGACTGTATATGTCAGGTGGGGCCTTTGACTCCTCCCCTCTCCTGGAACTTCTTTTGATGATATAGATCTTTGTCCCCCTCCCCCTGCCACACCTGGTGTGAGGGGTTGTGCCTTGGTCTGCCTGAGTGTTCGTGGCAACCGGGTCTGGGGGTTTAAGATTTTGGCATCTGCCTGTTAGATCCCGGTGGCTGTCTGGTGGGGTCTGAGTCCCTGGGCTCTGCTGGGTCCCCGGCGGGGGTGGTCGCCCCTGGGTCCCGGGTCGCTGGGTCCCGGGCTCGGCCGGCTAGGGGGTGGGAGGCTGCGGGCGGGCCTGTGGGCTTGCCGCTGATATCTCCCGGGACTCTGCCGGCTGCTGGTTGTGGCCCCCCCCGGGGCAATCCTCTGTGCCTCTCGAGGGGGGCGGGGGCCTTTCTGGTTGCAGCCTCCTTGGGGTTCCTGTGTTCTGGGGCAGCGCCTGGATCTCTGGGACTTGGAGCTCCCCCCGTCTCCTACACATCTTTGGGGGCAGATCTGTGGTCCCTCACACTCTCTGTTGGACGCTCCTATAGAGAAACCTTAAATAAACAAGCGCGTGTACACACACAGGTGCTCACATGGTGCTCTCATAAGTATGGGCTTGGGAATGTTAAACACATGTCTTAAGACTATGGTGGGCACTTAATGCACTGTGATTTATTATCGTGATTCTTCAGTTAAACAATGTTGATTATATATTTCTTCAAGTTGACGCAGTGACAGCTTGATCTTGTTGTATTGTTGTTGTGTCCCTTTTTTTGTCCTTTTGCTTTTTTTTGTCTCTTTCTGCAGG